AAACCCTCTCCTAAAATAAGTTATCAAGAGTCAAGGCTATATTGGTTTATCTATCTCTTTACTTTTTTCTAACATTATCAAACATATATATATATATGTGCACACGATAAAATAGAGGGTTATAAAAAAAAAAAAGAAAAGAACATTCCTAACTCAAACCGACCGACAAATCCACCTATGATTTAGCTTTGTATTTTAGTAATATTCAGTATGTGTAACACTGGCCCATCATTCATCAATAGTCACTTGTTAGGCTTGGTGGGTGAGACTACGTTCTTGTTCTTACAATTATAATCAACTGATAACATTGGTTTCCATGATTGTTACAACAGCAGGGTTAGTAAATTGGTACGGTGTTGTAACACTTTGTTACACAGATATTTTAGGTTGGGTAGCAATAATTGAACCGTTTGTTCCGTTATAATTACTGTGCGTACTACGAGATGGTATGGCTTAGCATATACATTGTCCAAGGAAGATGATTGATGGGGTTATTTAAGAGTAGTAGATGAAGTGAAGAATGTGGTGTGGAGGTACACTAGATATTGAATTATTATATGGTTGTGCATTGTTTTCATTTCATATCTTACCTCAAAATGATAGAACTAATGTATGTTTAACAATTCGGGAGCAATCACACTATTGCTAACCGGAAAATGCCCCCTAATATCCTAGCCTAGTACCCTCATCGCGCTTAGGGATCATATCCACACACACACACCACCACCACCAGCAGTTGTCTCCACTCTCTGGCCCATGTCACTGCATACTCCGTAGTGCCTTAGCTGCATGGGCCGCCGCCAATCCCTTCTCCACTCTCAGCATCCCATCCATCCATCTAGATCCAGGGTCTCTGACGCACGAGGAAAAAATACACCTGCATGACACTCAAAATGACAAAGGAACTGGAGCATAGTCGTAACTTTTTTCTATTCCTTTTCGAGGATTGGCTCAATGGATTGTCTGGATGCGGCCTTGAACATGTGCCTTCCCTGGCATCTGCACTAAATAAAAATTTCCCAGAGTTGTATGTATTGATATTTTGCGTTGGAAAAGCCAATTAGCCCAGGAGATTCCCCCCTCCAGAGCTATATAGCTACCGAGGGGCATCTGTTAGTTGGAAGAGCATTTGCTAACTCTTCTGTTTTTTTCCTCTTTTCCTCTCCCCCTCTCTACTTCCCTTCACCCTTACCTTCTTCCCTCTCCCGAACTTCTAGGAAGGCCATCCATTCTTTTATTATTTTTTTTTCGTTGAATTTCCTTTACTGAACACGACCTTTAACCCCCCCTCTCTCCCAACCCGCCAATTCTACATGTTTCATTGCTTATATTCCTAATACAATCATAAGTTGAACCTATAGCAGCAGCATTGCCGAATTGTCGATCGCATCTACTCTCCGGTTTGTCATTCTTGCGGCTTCGCGCGCGGCTGAAAACTCTCTATTGAGGTTTGCCAGGAGAAAGATTTGTCAGGACAAGGAGAAAAAAGTGATGAAAAATTTTAACTCTATTGGTTTCGAAAAACAAGCCTGAGTTTACTCACTTTCGTTGTGACGCCATGGAATTTCCATATATGCGAGCGTTCATTGCTCTTTTGTCAGTAGCTCGACCTTCCTTCTATTCTATTGCTGCGCTGGAATACTGTTTACACAGACCACTAATTTAGGCACTGATAACTGACACATCATTCACAGTGTTTACCGCTATCTTCGTCTTATCGTGAACCTTGTGTCTTTCTGGACTTTCAAGCCAATTCTCCCACCAGAGAACCCAAGGTTGACCGCACAAGATGTGACTGTCATCCTTCCTACTCTCGAGGGGTGCGGTGATGAGCTGGTTGAGACAATTAGAACAATTCTTGACAACCATCCTTATGAGCTCCTGTTAGTGACCATCGAGGCAAATCGGAAGAGAGCTGAGAACATGTTGAGCTTAATGCCTGCTTCAAAATCGAGAATCCGGCTTTTTACAGTCACACACCCTAATAAACGCCGCCAGATGACGAGGGCCATTCCAGAGGTCCGTACGCCTATTACTATCTTTGCTGATGATGATGTAAGCTGGCCGAGCACAGTACTCCCATGGATTCTGGCACCATTCGAGAAGGATGAACGATACGGAGGTGTAGTGACCTGCCAAAGGCTTCGTCGTGCTGCAGCACCAACATTCTCTCAGAGAGTTTGGGGCTTTTTGGGAGCTCTTTACTTAGAGAGAAGAAATTTTGATTGCGCGGCAACGACGCATGTTGATGGAGGTCTTCCCTGTATGTCGGGTCGAACTGTGGCGTATAGGACGGACATTCTGCAAGACGAGGGCTTTACTTATGCTTTCACAAATGAGGAATGGTGGTTTGGCAGATATCAATTGAATGCCGACGACGACAACTTCATTACACGTTGGATGGTGTCACATGGCTGGGAGACCTTTATGCAGTACCATCCCGAAGCTGAAGTCCTGACTACCTTGGAAGATAACCCTAAATTTTTGAAGCAATGCGCGCGATGGTCTCGAAGCAACTGGAGGAGCAACCTTACTAGTATGTTCCATGAAAAACATATTTGGTAGTAAGTACCTCATTATTTGCCCCATCCTTATCTCCCGGCTCTGCTGTTCTGGTAATAAACCGGATCAAGTATAAATGCATACTTCACAGTCTAGTCTCGCATTAGGGCAGTGTAAGCAGACCGGCTGTGCCAGCTGGGTCCCTTAAGGGGCCAGTTTATCGTTTGCATGAGTCGTACGTAACTTGCCAATGCGTGCATTGTCTGAATTTGGCAAACCAACACATTACAGAGAGCAAGCGCCTCGCCTGAGCCTCACGCTAACAATTTGATACCAGTCGCCAGCCATGGAGCGCATACGCTGTCCATCTGACCACCTTGTCACCTCCAGCCCTCTTAGGCGACTTGCTACTCGTCCTTCTGTGTCATAAAGCCACGGCCTCCTGGGCAGATGATTCGCAAGCACTCGCAATGCAAGCCCTCGGAGTATGGATGTTTGTCAGCAAGTTCATCAAGCTTTTGGGGCATTACATCCGATACCCCGTCGACTTTTTACTTTTACCTGTGTCTATCCTCTTTGGATATTTCCACGGAGGAATCAAGATGTACGCAGTGATGACGCTCAATGTGGTAAGTTACAAAATGAGATTAGTCTCTCTTTTAAGTTTCTTGAATCTACAGCGAGATTGGCAGTGCTACAAGGTCCGTTTTGGAGCCTTGAGCTTGAAAATGGGTTCTAGCCACTTCTCTGCTCAAGCACGAATCCTATCATCTGAAACAAATCCTTCACCCCCGCCTCTATATATGGTTTGGTCACGGGTCTCATGTTTTTGTGCATATTTTGGGTCGCGGTCTGTTTAACCAGGATGGTCAGCCGTTACCTCTCCGATTTCCTTTTTCCTCTAGCCCCACATCCCTTGTTTGGTCTATTTCCCTCTGCGAGTGTATACCAAATTCCTTGTGCCCAACTGAATCCCTCAGGATCATCATGTAAAGAATTCGCTAACACGAGCATTTTTCTGTGTATCACAGACCACATGGGGTAGCAGAGATGGCGCCGACGATTACGACGCTGAGCGTATGAAGAAGCGGACACACAATGACCGTCCGAAGTCACCTTATTACCCGAAGTTCATCACCCAATGATTCCGGAAATGGATGATTGGTGGGGCGTCTGTACCTAGTACAATCTCGTCCAGCTTATCACTATTGTATGTGTTTTGCAAGCATCACCTGACGAACGAGGCATACCGTCTATAACTCGATGGAGCCATCCGACAAAAGGTCCTAACAAGGTCGTCGCGACAGTTCCGAAATCTTGCTCTGCTTTTAATCTAATTTCTCATTTCCTTCATGCTTACGAAGAAATGCCTCGATGATGATGATGCAACTTGAGATTGAGCAAAATGAGTCCTCGACGATTTAGAACTTCAATGTTCCCGGCCTTCTTTAACCCACTTATTTCTGGGATTCTCTTTGACTCTTCCTCTATTTGATTGCATCATGTCTCGATACGTGATACTGCAGCACGGCTTCGCTTTTTATACCTTTTACTTTTACCTTTTTATTTTTTTGATAACTTTCTTCCCCCATTCCCATCTCCCATTTTCTTTCGAGACACCTAGGAGTCCCCAGGGATCAGAGTCACAGCACAAAGATGGGACAGGGACATTTTATTCTTTTATGGGCTTATTGACCCTCTTAATGCCCAACAAAACAAAGAGAAGAGAAAAAGAGAGGAAAACGGCGAACTGGAGATATCTTTGTAAATTACTAACGTATGGGCAAGATCGCTTGGCACTTGTGCCACACCGACACCCCTTCTTACTTGCTTCCTTTGCTTTCTTCTTTCCCCTTCGTTAGAGTGGAGTTGGAGTTTGGGAGGCTTTCTGAAGTGAACAATTTCCGCGAGCCTTTGGCTTGTTCATTTATTAGTATCATTCGGTGTAATCTCTAATGAATCGGACCTTGCCATTAGTGATTGCCTCTTTCTGATCCCGCGCAGTAAAGCTACGATTCCTAATAACGATAGAATTTGACTATAAGAGAGGCCCAATACGACCGACATTCCACGCTACTTGTGGAGGGATAAGCTAATGGGAGATGCCAACCTAAGGTTGTATTTACCATTACACACACACACAAAAGTACTCTATATATATGTATATATATAGCGCCTGCTGGCGACGCTACTAGAATACGACAGTGTAATCTGTACTGGTTATATTATCGTGAGTTCTGTGGACTATGTATATGATCTAGAGATTCGAGTAACGTAAATGTGGCGTCTGTGGCGAGCGCACAGGACCCGCTTAAACTAGTGCCTGAGGTAGTGACCCAGCGTACATACTACTACAAGCCTCACCCGGTAATATCCTGTTTCCGCCCATACATGCACCTAACTATACTTACACATTTGTCGTTTACTAAGCATTGCGGACTACATTATTATTAATCTTTTTATTACTGTTCTCTTCTTCTTCTTCGTTTTTTTTTTTTTTTTTTTTTAATAACTCTTTAGTACACAAAGGCTGTGTTAAAAACAAGATGCCGTGTTTCCCCCAAGCACCCGCAGCTCTTTCACAGCGTATAGTTTCGATCGCTACGCGACACAACGTTGCTATATCGCGCTCGTTTCACTTTTCACCCTGGAAGGCCGCTATTGCTCATCCAGTCACAGCCCATGGTCCTCCCCCGAAAGCTCCCTCCGTCGCTCTAGAGCATAATGAACTCACGAGACAACAAGATGGCAATGGGCTACACACTCGAACGGCAAAGCCTACACCTCTCAACAAACGGTTTTGGAAGAGCGTCGACGTTAAGACGAAACCAGGTATATTTCTTAGTCTGCTGTATGTGTAAATATATGGCTGACTGCATCCTTGTGGTCTTCTAGAAGGAGATTACCAAGTTCTGCTAGACGCCAGGCCTGTTCGAACCCCCACAAAAGATGTCCTCTATATCCCGCCAACAAAGCCTCACCTTGCGCATTTGATCGCTCTGGAATGGGATGTCATGACCTCGGCCCAGCAAGCCTTGAAAAATCATATGATCCCACTAACTTCTCTCGCTGCGCGAGCCGCAGACATTTTCCGGGAGGATGCGAATGGCGAGACGATCACGAGAGACCAAATTGTGAAAACTGCAATGCGCTATCTAGAGACAGATACATTGCTTTGTTGGGTGCCAGAGAAGAATGACTATAGCGCTGAGGAAGTTGACGAGCATGGTCGGAGACCAGAGAGTCTTCGAGAGGCCCAGATGAGAGTTGCGAAAAATGTAATCTCCTTTTTAAGCACCATGGTGTGGCCTGGTATTGAGATCAGACCTATTTTGGATTCTGAGAGTATCCTGCCGGTGTCGCAAACTCAAGCTACGAACGATATTATTGAACAATGGATTTTCGGCCTACAAGCGCACGATTTAGCTGCTCTCGAAAGAGGTATTCTTGCCTCAAAGAGTTTACTGGTGGCTGTGAGGCTGGTCTCGGAATGGAGTGAAAACTTACGCCACGTACAACGACCGAATCAGAAAAAATTCGGTATTGAAGAAGCAGCCGAAGCGTCCAGTCTGGAAGTAAAATGGCAAACAGATATGTGGGGTGAGGTTGAGGATACACATGATGTTGATAAGGAGGATTTGAAGCGACAGCTTGGTAGTGTCATTGTCTTGGTGAGCGGAGTGACGAAGTGACGAAGTTCTTGTCCTTCGATGCTGTATATTGTATTTATTTAGACGCCGAGGGCCATTCTGTACGTTATAGTTACATATACAACCATAATTTGCGCATCGTCTACCTTACAATGAGCCTGTTAGCTTACTCCGGAGCAGATGCATGTGACGGCTTTCGTAGCTTTTTACCACTTTTGTCCCTTTCACCAAACCAACGCTTCTTCATCTTCGTTACTTTCCGATACCAAATTTGGCTTCTTGAGCTAAAGCTTACAGCCGGCAGCTGTCATCTTCAGCGTCCTATTATGGAAGTGGCAATGTAATTGATATTTTCTGGCTGGAAGAGATTCCACTGTCTCCTCGCCAAGGCGCGGGAGAACAAACCTGCTGTTAATTTGGGGCCCTTAACGACGATCATCACACTCCCACGAGTTGACCGACCGCAGAGAATGAAACCTTGCCCTCACCAATCAACACTAGCGATAGTTCGTGACTTCCTACATTAGCAACCCCGCGCCTTATCTCGGCTGTCTCCTCCCTTTCTATGCATCTCTCCCCGCAATACTTGGGGATATCTGAAGTGTCGCTCGTGGCGAGAAAGTGATGACGGAGAAGGGTGAAGGGTAAGTTCCGCTGCGCCTTCTTGAAGAACAGGACCCTGGTTTCATGGATCACATGTCGAGGCCGTGTGTCACCGCAGGCATACTTGGAGTCCTCGGTTTCAGATAGCCTAGTAGTCATTAATCGTTCAGAACATTTGACCGGGCGGCAAGATCTCACACATGAACCTAGCATTTCTCATCGTCTTCCCATTTAAGGAGGGGCCGGCAGACCTTTAGACTAATTCGTGTTGCCTAAATCCCTTAGGCACAAACGCACTAGAAGTGCCTTGGCGCTTGCGATTCTACACCGTGATAAATCAAAAGACGACTACGAGGGGATGCCTGGCCGCAATAGTGGTTCGCCCGAATCCGTTGCACCCGCTCCGGTAAACAATACGCCACATTTCTCTGCTCTAGCTGCTACTCAAAGCTCAACCCACCAAATTCCCCGTCCAGAAGTGAACGCCCCCTTTATGTCGGACGAGAACTCCCTGGAGCAGGTACGCTCTAATCAAAGCGGCGATCCTATCGACAAGCTGCCTTCATTGACAACTGCAGACAGCATTAGCATGTCGCTGGACCAGTCTGTAAGGACGTTCAGGCTTTTTGAGATCCTGCGGAGTGGGGATACAACCGCGATATCAAAAGCTATTAAAGAGACTAAAGATCCTCAGGGAGCAAACAGTCTCTCCGGAACGACTATGCTCCATTTAGCGATCCAATGCGCCGAACCACAAGTTGTCGAATACATTCTTTCCAGCGGCTATGAACTTGATATCAACGCGCGCGACAGAGATGGCAATACGCCACTCCACCTCGCCGCCCAGCTCGGAAGAGGGTCACTAGTTCGTGAGCTACTAAGTCGTCCTTCTCTCAACGACTCAGTTGTCAACTACAGTGGCCAAACAGCTCTAGATGTTGCCCGCACCCCGGAGATCTTTCAACAGCTTCAGCTTGCACGATCCCTTTTTATTGACAGCAAGTCACAAGAAATCCAGTCACTCATCTCCCAGGGTGACTATGAACAGCTAGAGAAGGTACTCGAAGAGCCACGGGTTGAAGGAATAATGGATATTAATAGTTTGGACCTGGTCACTGATACCGCTACTGTTCAGTCTGGAGGCACTCTGCTGCATGAGGGCGCCAGGAGGAAAGACACGAAACTCATTCAGTTATTACTGATGCATGGGGCGGATCCATTTCGCCGCGACAAAAAGGGTAAATTGCCACAGGATGTCACAAAGGACGACAGGACACGTGCAATAGTCAAAAAGTCACCCGCTGCTGTCATTGCTCAGCGCGGCATACAAGAGAAGGCTATTCTTGGGACCAATTCGGGCCAAGGCGTTTTGGGCCGAGCCAGTGTAGGGGAGGCAACTTTTGCGGGAAAGGATTCTCGCGAAATGAGGGGATACTTGAAGAAATGGACAAACTACACTAGTGGTTATAAACTGCGGTGGTTTGTGCTTGAAGACGGCGTTCTTAGCTATTATAAGCATCAAGGTAAGTGGCTAGAGATTTCCCAAAGGTTGCAACCATAGTTGGTGTCTAACTTGTTTTGATCAGATGACGCTGGGTCTGCATGTCGTGGTGCGATTAATATGAAAATCGCTAAACTCAACATGGACTCGCAAGACAAGACTCGATTTGAAATTCATGGCAAATCATCCGTCAAATACCATCTCAAAGCTAATCATGTTGTCGAGGCAAAGCGTTGGTTCTGGACTCTTAATAATGCTATACAGTGGGCAAAAGATGAGGCAAAAGAGGAAGAAAGACGCCAGTCTCGGCATGCCGAGGTGCTCCGTCAAGCCAAGATTGAACAAATTGAGGGACGAACAGCTGATAGCTCATCCGATTCACCCTGCCTCGCTGCTACCAAGTCTAGCGGGAAGGGAAATATTACCCCATCTCTAGGTATTCCAGGTAGTAGTGCGACAAGACTTAGCGCGCATGCGTCTCGCACAACGCTGGAGAGCATACCCGCAGATGAGGAAGGCTCTTTCCAAGGATCATACGACCAGGGTGTTCTGCAAAATGACGTAAATCGGGTGGCCAGCCATGTAACCACTGCGCCTGAAGGCGAGGGTGATGATGAGGATTACGGTGACTATGCATCCAGCCGTGAGGTGCCAATGGCTGATAAAGACGCCCTGAACATCACTGCGCAGTCTGCAAATCTTCAACTTGATATCCTCGCGAATGTAGCGTCCTCACTACAAACTGAGAAGTCGAGGAACCCAGGCTTGTCGCTTGCGGACTCGGCAGTTGATCAAGCACTTGCTGCTTATGAAGCAGCTGTGAGTAGTCTCCAGGGGCTAGTGCAAAATCTCCTCAAGATATCCCGGGATCGCGATGCCTACTGGCAGTACCGATTGAATAGGGAAGCACATCTCCGTAAGATGTGGGAAGAAAGTATGGCACGAGTTGCACAGGAACATGAAGAGTTACAGTCAAAGATGGGAGAATCTGAAGAGAAGCGCCGACGTACGAAGCGTGCCCTCAAGGAAGCCCTAGAGATCTCGTCAGCAACCACTAGTTTTGCTGTCAGTAAAGCGCCATCTCGTATGGCATCTACAGGTGAAGAAGGTGATGGGGCTGACGAGCGGATGGAGACACATGCTCCAGGAGCCGACAATCTATCTCAGGCTGATGAGCAAGAAGCCGGGCGACCCCTTCGGCGTAAGAAGTCGACTCTTTCTCAGATCAGTGATCTATGTGATTCGGCATCTGATAGCGAGGACGAATTCTTCGATGCAATTGACTCCGGGGAGATTGAAGTGGAGAACTTAGCACATACAGAAGCAAGTATTGAAAAAGATAAATCGGTGGGAGAAAGGACCGAATTGCGGGCCATAAAACGCCTGGAAATAGCACCATCGTTCAAAGGATATGAGGAGTCCATCAGAACGAAACTGAAGATGGATTATGATAATCGACCAAAAATCTCCTTGTGGGTGAGTGGTGATCTAATCACTACCAAGCTAGTAAGCAACGTGCAACGTTTTACTTATTATTATCAACTTAGGGTATTCTGAAATCGATGATTGGGAAAGACATGACCAAGATGACTTTGCCGGTTTCCTTCAACGAACCCACGTCTTTGCTACAACGTGTGGCTGAAGATTTGGAGTATGCGGATCTTCTTGACGTGGCTGCTGATCGATCTGATTCAATGGAACGCATGGTGTATGTCGCTGCCTATGCGGCGAGTGAGTACGCCTCGACAATCGGCCGTGTTGCCAAACCGTTCAACCCTCTTCTGGGGGAGACGTTTGAGTATGTCAGGCCCGATAAAGGCTACCGGTTCTTTGTTGAGCAAGTCAGCCACCACCCGCCGATTGGTGCTGCATGGGCGGAATCGCCAAAGTGGGATTATTATGTAAGTTCCAGGCCATAAAACGAAACTGATACATGACAACACTGACAAGAGTTCTAATAGGGCGAATCAGCCCTCAAGTCTAAGTTCTACGGGAAATCCTTCGATATCAATCTTCTTGGAACCTGGTTCCTTAAGTTACGCCCTGCTTCGGGAGGCGAAGAACTCTACACGTGGAAAAAAGTCACCTCGTCTGTCATTGGAATCATTACTGGTAACCCGACAGTTGACAACTATGGGTTAATGGAGATCAAGAATTGGACGACCGGCGAGGCTTGCTACCTTGATTTCAAGCCGAGGGGCTGGAAAGCCTCGTCTGCCTATCAGGTGGCCGGTAAGATTGTAGACAAGGGCGGATCTCCGAAATGGAGCATTGGTGGCCGTTGGAATGACAAGATTTTTGCTCGCCATACTCCTGGATATGAGGTGGACGTATCCAGTCAGGATCCGGAGTCGTCTAAGACGTTTCTGGTATGGCAATGCCACGCCCGCCCAAGTGGTATCCCGTTCAATTTAACGCCTTTCGTCATCACATTGAATGCCCTTCCGGAAGGTCTGAAACAGTATCTCCCCCCAACCGATACCCGACTCCGACCCGATCAACGTGCAATGGAGGAGGGAGAATATGACATTGCCGCTGACGAAAAGCATCGAGTCGAAGAAAAGCAACGAGCCAAACGAAGAGAGAGGGAGACAAAAGGAGAAGAGTACCAGCCAAAGTTCTTCATTCGGAAAAAGTGCCCGATCACTAGTGAAGAGTACTGGGCGCACAATGGGAAGTATTGGGCGGCCAGAGAAGCACAGGACTGGAGTATATGTGAAGACATCTTCTGAAGATGAGCTCTATGTCGTAATCGAGTGTTTAAAGTATCAAGGTTTTGATCTTCAATCCTACAGACAGCTCTATTAGTCCGGTCTTGTTTCGTAATTTTTTTTTTTTTTTTTAGGATACACTGGCTTTTTCGACAGAAACCATATAATCCTTAGCAATTGATACTAGTGATCAGGTTATAGAAACCCATCCAAACATCCTCGGTAATATGAATCTGGGGTGTCTTTTTTTTTTTTGGATTCAACGACCCTTTGATCACGTGCCTGCGGGATCGTCGCTCGGAAAGAACAATTGCCAACTCTCCGTATCAGCAGATGATTGCTACATGGGTCGCCCTCTAACAACCATAACAATGACTGGCGAATACACCTGTGGACGTTGTCTACAGGTGCTCCGGCGAAGAGCTGCGGCTCATGGCCCTGTGATCCGATTGCAGACGGCATATAACTCAAGGCAGATATACAGGCCATCGGCCTTCCTCGTGCGAAGTTTTGGTTCACGAAGCGACAGTCGCTTCATAACCAAAAATCTCCAAGGCCATACCAAACGGGCTGCTCCGCCTTCAGCTTGTAATTCCACTGCTGTACCACACAACGTTCCGCAAAGTGTACAACGGGCCACGTCCGCAACGTCCACTTACTCGCCAGAACCGCGTGCTTTGCTGCAGCCAAACAACTTGTTCCATCATTTTTCTCAGTCACCTTCACCTTCGATTCGGCAACGTGCTGCGTTTATTAAACAAAACGCCTTTTGCCCTCACCCGAGTCACCAACAGACCCGTGCACCAGTCTCCCCACACGATCCCGAGTCGCGAAAGAACCAGCAAAGCACGAGTCCCCCAGCCCATTCGCACTTCGAATGCCCTGACTGCGGTGTCCCAATCTACTGCTCAGAAGGACACTGGATGGATGACTTTGAAGCACATTTGGAGATTTGTGAGACCATTAGACAGATAAACGAGGATGATCACGACCTCCACTCTGGTCGATTTTTCCCCGAATTCTCTTATCCGGGCCTTCAGGATGATAACTTCGTCATCAACATGACGAACTGGGACACATTTTTGTATACGCGAGAGTTTGATGCGATAAACCACGATCGGAGTATGCGACAAGTGACTAGGATGCTCACCTACCCTCTTACCATTGGGAGTGTCTTGCACGAGCTGAGCCCTTACAGCGTTCGGAAAGGTGGGAGACTTACAGTCGAGGGACTGAAGAGTGTGAGCGGTAAGTTATCATAGATCAATGCAAATGAATCCACATCTGACCTTTTCAATTTAGCGCTTCGATACACTCTGCACCCTCCCAAGACTGGAGAAGGAGTTGATATTCAAGGGCTGCGCTTGAAGGCCCCACCTGTTAGGATATTTATTCTTGGGGCGCGCGCCGAATCTTCTTTACCTCGTGAAGTCTGGCTTCAGCTCAGTTACATCTTCCCACGATCCCTCATCCATTTGATTTTTATTGGACCAGAGAGTATGGCCAACCGAGACGCTGAGTTCCCACTTCCCGAACGGACGCCCGAGAACCCTTTCGGAGGGATTGTGGAAGACAGACTTGGCGGGCAGCTGAAGATTACAACATACGTCGACTACTTCCACACAATGTACAAAGCGCAATATTTCCAGCCGTTCGACCCATATTTAGACTGCATCATGCTCTTCCACCCTGGCCTCGGGCATCCGGCCAGCTCCCATGAATGGGAAGAAACGCTACCACAACTACTAGAGACAAAAGTCCCCATTATCAGCACTGGCTATACGCAGTGGGATATGGAGAGGGATATCAGTTGGGTCCATGAGAAGTGTGCCGGTGAATTTGATATCTTGTTGGAACCAGGCGAAAACATCTTTCGCAGTCTGAGGTGGGACCTTAATGATTTGGATCCTCATGATGTTTCCTGCGGAAACTGGGGGTTATGGGCATTCAGAGGGAAGAGGTTCGTCATATGTATCCCTTATCAGCACGCTTCCATACTATTTATGCTATGTTCGACTTTAATTGCAAGTTTCTATGTTTGTCTGCTAACCAATTCAACTACAGATACGAGGCGACGTTCAAGGGTTAAAGGGTTCTCTTACACCTGTACGTGTACTTGACGTCTTCGTTGTACATCTAGTGGCTATTCTATCAGCGTTGTTTGATTAGGGTTGAAGGAACAATAGTTCCCAATCTAAGCCCTATTTTCAGCCTTTATCGCTGTTTCCATAACATCATTGTACTATTGTCTATACATTATCTATTATCGTGCCAAATAGAAGTATTTCATTCGGTGAACATCATATGGCAATCGACTAGACCTTATTAATGCGTAAATCCTAGGACATTGTATTATAGTAGGATAATCAGAGGCGACACCTCGAAAATAAGTTATGCATGAACATGGCAAGTTTCAATCGTCGACAGTCCATTCAGTCCTACACTCGTTACTTCGGAACATGAATTAGCTCGGGGCGAAGCCAAAAGAAACCAAGTATAAAGTTTTCCAGATCAAGAAAGAAAAAGGGTATAAAGGTCGGAATCGTAATAATGGGTGGCAGAAAATTAAGCTATCAACGAGGTTGACAATCAGAATTCGAATCACAGAACAGTAAAATAATAAATGGAGACCCGACCCAACAGATGAACACCGTCATGTATAACCGCTATAGTTTTGGCTGAAGCTGCTCAAGAGAATCGCATGAATAATGAGAGATAGGTGTACGGAAGGCAATCTGCCCTGGTATTTGATTTAGGTCTGTTCAATTCCCTATTGGAATCATCTTTTCTCCATGCTCGGCCCTCGAGGCATGCCAATCAGCAAGGTTTCAGGAGCAATACTGATGGTGTTACTGCAGTCGTATCGGCTCGCTGACTGAGACATGAGCATCGTCGTTCATGAGCATAGCTTCGAACTGCTCAGAAAGGCCTTTAGAGCACTATGAAGCCAGCAGCAGCGACAGCGCCCGCAACCATCGCATTAGAGAGCTTAATGGCAGGGGCACCACCAGTAGCCTGGGGGACGATATACGACGAGGGGGTCCCAGAAGGTGTCGCGGAAGGCGTCTTTGAAAAGAGCGGAGTGGAAGACGCTTTAGCGGAGCTAGAAGGAGTGTGGGTTGAGAAAGCAGAAGAGCTGGGAGACGCCGTGGAAGTCGGTGCCGGAGTTGAGGTCGTTACAGGGACGACCTGGATGGTGAGGGTCTTGGTTGGCGCATCCTCTGCGAGGGCGAAAGGCGCAAGAACGGCGGCGACGATGAGAAGAGCCTTGCTGAACTGCATCTTGAGACTGCAATGGAATAATGGACTCAAGTCGTTGTGTGATATGCGATTTCAATTGGACCGGCTTTGTTTGGAATCGCGCGTGTGGGGGAAAAATGCGACAGAAGCGCGAAATGGTAGTATATATGTATTCCGTTTCTTGAGACTTCGTACTTTGAGTAAAAGAGTGAATGGAGCTGGAAATGAGTGACAGCTCTTGTGTATAGTAAAATGAAGCAAAATTAAATGGATGGCAAGCACTGCTTTGATGAATTTAAAATGAAGGAGCGACTTGGGGGTAAAAGGCGAGGGAAAAGGGGTTCAGACTAAGAGGAACGGGGCGTCTACTCCGTATAACGGAAAGGTAGGGTAAACATTCCAAACTCGGCCACTGTCCGGATACTCCGAGCGTGTCATTTTATTACCTAAACAGCTGGCCTGTCGACTAGCACGGCGCCGTCGTGGTACATTCATCCATTCGTCCATTCGTATAGGAAACTCTGATTGCGATATGTCGATCTCTTCACTTGGCGCGTCCATTGTTGTTAAGTTGTTTGTACCTGACTAACCCCTTAGTTCAGTAACTGGAACCATGGAAACACCAAATGAGCGGGAGAGCAAAACTCACCTAGGGGTTCCTCTTGCTCTAGCCTAAATCCGGGCGCTATTCGCAGCAGGTAGACTCATTATCGTGGAAGGTCTCTTTCTCCCTGACCTCGTGCGTTTTACATACATTTGTCCTTGTTTGTTTACACGTGAACAGGGTAGCATCAGATAACGGGACTTCTGCCTTTGAGACAATTTGTCTCCGAACGAGTCTAGTGGGGAAGTTCCAATTAATTTTGAACAAAATTTGTTGCGGCGGGTCGTAAGATCACGAGCCAAGGCTGTCCAGAAAGGGGTCTTACAAAGGGCAGCTTGGAAAGACCAGGTATACCATCAAATAAGTTTGTATCATACGTAACAACGATGCGACATTAGTATCATTATGACAATCGAGGGTTCCTCCATCCAACGCCCGAGAGTGGGTATCAATATCAAGACTCAAAATCGATGAAAGTAACACGTTACCACAGCCAAGCCAGTTAATCTTTGCTAGCCCAGTAAAGTCGCGGACACTAGGGCCCAAATCCTTAAGAGCCGGAATGACAATTGTACAAATAAGACCAGGAGAGGTGTGAATGAGAGCCATCCCATCCACTAAAAGAAGAAGAAGAAGACGGCAACTACCGTCAAGCACTCTTGGGGAAACTGTTAGATATATTATCCAAATGAGTGAGTCCAATGGTGGCATTACAGCCCCCAAATGGTACTGGCGACCAAGGCGACCATTGGCCAATATCCACTGATCTGGACCCCTGTTCGAGCAGCACCAGAAGGTGTAGATGAGTCGGCAACAGTCGTCCCATTAGGCAATGTGCCATTGATATAAATGGTCTCAGTGCCATTGACTTCGACAATTTTAGCGACACTGGAATTTGCAGGTTGGGTGCCGTTGAAAATGGATTCATAATACAATCTATCCGAGTTTTCATCGCATGCACATTCTGCATACTTCTCGCATAGACAAACTACCGGCATCGATGCGTTATGGTGTGAGGTCTGATCAACATATTGATAATGGTAGTTATACGGATAGGCATAAGCTCCGTACAGCCAGACACCACCGAAGAATGCCAAAGCAGTTGCTGGCAGTACGATAGGCGCTATTCCTAGTGGCGATAGAGCACCAGAGGTATAGGGAGTGCGGGCACCACCGGCGTAGTAAATACCTCTACCATATGTGGGCTGTGGCCCTGACCCACTGCGAGACGAGCCACCGGAGTTGCTAGACGAGCTGTAGAGAAAAACAAAGGGTTGGTTATAGAAGTTCGTGTTGCTTTAGGAGTTTGGGACACTTACCCTGTTCTTGATGAAGAACCGCCACTACCTCCTCGCCCACCACTCCCACCACCGCTGCCTCCCCCCCCTCGTCCTCCCCCACCGCCACGCCGCTTTTCTAAATATACGGGTTCATGAGATCTAGGCACAAGAACCACATTCTCGGCTAGATCTGACCGTGGGAGACTGATGACTGCAGTCGGGAGAAGAAGAATGATACTTATGGAGGCAACCTTCATTTTTTTTTCCCGCCTCTGTTTGATGCCGGGAAACTGACGATCTTCTTGATCTGGGAGATAATTGTTGGGCTGTATAAACGTAGGCTACTATAGCGAGCTGCTGGATATAAAGCAGGAGGAGTTGGTTGAAAGATAGAGTAGCACCACCCGCTCGTGAACAAAGATAAAAAAAGGGAGGCAGTATATCAGAGGTCGTTAGGACAGTATAACATTTAAAAGTGCGAGGACTGTAACTATTATAATTTTGCGAACCAACTTTTAGTGGAAAATATCATGATTGTGTAGTATAAAGTAGAGATCGTTCGACGGACATGACTTCACCCTGAAAGTTAATGTCCATAAAATTATGGATAGTTCATAAATCCATCGGTTATTGGACGAAAACCAAGCCACACTCGTATGTCGGATTTACACTGCCTTTCCTCCACAAGGTTTCTGCTACGTACTAACAGGGCGGTGCAGGTTATAGCCGCAATAGTCTCACTACTACTTCGTTAAGGTATTGGAAATGAACCGAGTCCACATCTGTTCTTTCCCTTAATGTCAATCAATAACTCTTAAACCGATTGTGGATCAGCCAGAGCCCATTAAAAACTCAAGCAATTCAGACCGTTCACTTCCGTTTCCTAGCCACTATTCAACAATCAACCTCTGCACCGACCTACTGAGTGCAGTAGATAGATAGGTAGATAGATAAATATAATACGAAAATTGTATATCTGTCTTGGTTTAGCTTGATCACTATAAACACACAGCCCGTTCTTACAGCACTACTCCCTTGGTGTTGATGGTCCACTCTCCGGGCAGCGTGCAAATATTCCCATCACCGTGGTTGTGAGAGCAAGGGCATGTCGCCAGGTACAAACACACACCAGAATTTACTTTTGTCCTGCCTTGACAAGCGGCCTATAAATGGGCTCCCACATCTGCACTCGGATCCACTCCTCCAACTCTTCCTTATGGCTGGGAATTTCTTCTTCTTGAGCATATCCTTCCTCGACTGCTGTCTCGATGACTGCTCGTGCAATATGCACGCTAATCTCGCGTACATTCTCAACATCTGGAAGAAGAGGCCGGTTTGGATTCTGTAGCGCCGGAGACTGAGAAGCTAACGCTCTGGCGGCTGCCACCAACATTTTGTCAGAGAGGATCTGCGTCCGAGATAGAACTGCCCCAAGGCCAATGCCAGGAAAGCAGGTTGAATTGTTGCATTCCGCTATTTACAGCGATCCTCGTGTTAGCAGAGACTGAGAATAGCCTTGTCTTGTCATGAACTATAACTGCATATCACTCACCAACTTCGTATTCTGCTCCGTTACGCTCAACGGGAGGGAAGGGACTTCCAGTGGCCATTAAAGCTCGACCTTCCGTCCAGTGGTTAATGTCCCCCGGGGAAGCCTCATGTAATCGTGTAGGGTTGCTTAAGGGAAAGATGATAGGATGTTCAACATGCTTGGCCATCTCCCGGATAATGTTTTCTGTGAAAGCCTTTGGCTTGGTTGACGTGCCGATCAAAACATGCGGTTTTACCTCCTTCACAACTGAAAGTAAATCTCTGCCCTTCTCTTTGGGCCACTCGTTGTCATTCCGTGCAAATGGTGCTTGAGCTGCCGTTAGTTGGTCACCAAAAGACTTGAGCAGAATACCTGGCTTATCTAGACACCTTTCCATTGAAGTTAGCCATCATAATACCATCCTACCATCAGTATAATCTCCTACGAAAGACTCACCATATCTGTGCTGAAGCTTCTTGCTTTGTTCTACCAGTGTCCGTAGCGATGGTATCGGCGACCTGTTTCGCAATTCCAGTACCAGCTGAGCCCGAGCCAAAGATAACTACACGCACATCTACTAACTCGATATTAACGACACGAAAAGCCGCCATTAAAGCCGCCAAAGTCACGCATCCTGTTCCCTGAATATCATCATTGAAACAGGGAATATGTAGTCGATACTGATTTAGAAGTCTGCTGGCATTATGGAGGCCAAAGTCTTCGCTGAATTGATGTCAGTGTGTTCCGAGAGGCTCAGAAAGAGAGGGACAGAAAGACTGCTGAAAAGGGGTTGAGTGACAAAGAAGAAAAAGAGGCGGATGAGGCATTAAGGTCAATACTAACAAATGGATGTAGGCTTTAGGAAACATCTTCCTGGCGGATGTCACAAACTTTTCCACAAATCGATCGTATTCCTCGCCTCTGACACGCGGCTGTCGAAGGCCCAGATACAACTCATCGTTGAGTAGATCTTTGTTCTATCATCAACTTAGCTCAGTGCTTATGAACTGCCATGGCGACCATACATCTGTGCCACAATCTAGAACTACAGGAAGCTGTCGAGAAGGGTGAATTCCAGCACATAGTGTTGCAAGGACCAGTTTGGCAACGGAGATTAATATGGATCCGACACCTTGGTCTCCGATGCCCAGTATCTGCAATTGAAAGCGTGAGAGTAGCTCTTGGAATGAAGAGAAGAATATTCCTTACTTCCTCACCATCACTAACGACGATGTAATCAACATCTATGCCACGACCAAAATTGCAAAGACATTCTTCAATTCTATCCTGGTCTTTTATATTCAAAAAGCAGCCCTCTGGTCTTCTGAATAAGCGCGAGTAATTCTGAATTGCGTCACCTTCTGTAGGTGTATATATCACACTAAACATCTCTTTCAAATGAGTTTGTATCAACTGTGACGGGGCGTTAACCCATTTATTGAGGCCTATCATGGGAAGTCTATGGCACACAAACGTACTTTATAGTATAAAACCTCGTTCTGCGCCTTCATGCTTGCCATGAAAGTATTTTTCGCCAAAGCATCGGGACGGCTCTTATATTGTTGAAATGCCCGCTGGACCTGGTCTTCCAAAGTTTGGATGTTCGGAGGTAAGAGACCATGCAGCTTGAAAACGTTCCTTTCTTCTTCACTAAATGCAGAGCCTTTATTAAAGTGGCATGACGTTATGACATCCCTGCCCTGTGATCTGACAGTCAGTACACCAGCTATCCCAAGTGTTGAGAACAATGGCTATGACCTCATAGGGACACTCTAGTGGCCCAAAAGCTGCACGTGGGTGATGGCTGAATCTGGACAAACGCTTCGACATGGGCATGTTCAATAGCCAGGTCACTGTGCGCGGTATACAATGACGATGTAACAAGGCAATTGCAAAGTGTTGCACCAAGTGATATATGGTCACCGACAATAGGGATTAACTAGTTAAGGATAGAGGCTTATATAAGCTGAAACGGTCAGCTCTTGCGATGACAGGGAAACATGGATGAATTAGTGCTCCGGGTAGGTAGTCCGTGCCGATGACGTAGGGACCATTCAAGTCGACGTTATTCATACTACGTTGTATGCAGTACTGTTACAAAACATCTTCCCCACTAAAGTCTATTATAGGTAAATCCAAATCCACTTGAGAAGGCAAGCATCAAAAAGAATTTGATAGATCCACACTAGTTTTCCGGTTAAGTACGTAAGTAGTAGGTCTTGAGTCAAGTATAAAGTACAACAAATGAATTTTTGGTTTTCCGATAGCAGACCCTCGTCAATATTTGTGTACTTTATTTCCAGATAGATTCAGTATTAGGACAAGATCATGAGCAGTCTACTCATAGCAGGGAATAGAACATTGTTATCGATCAAGCTATCACGTGGTGATAATGCACAGATGTGGATTCAGGTGACTAAGCTCTAGCCGAGTACAAAGAGCGGCAAATCACCGAAAATCTGAAACTCAACAAAATCTTCACATTACACAACACCATTCCCATGCAATCTGATGTCCAGCTTTAATGTTGATCTGGAAGGCAGCCAATAAGTTTCAAGCCTGCAAACTCAAGGTCCCCGGTTTGTTCAGCCTATCAGACGAAACTCGCCGCAAGCCAGTGTTAATGCAAAACCCACAAGACGCTCTCCCATCATCACTTTACTAACATTGTCGTACCATACGGAGTATATCGCAACTACACAATCCGGCTGTCTCAAGTCTATGCGGTCTATGAATCCATCTGGACAAGTGGATCGCTAGACTCATCACGGGCCCTTCATTGAAGGACGGTCTTCACATGCCATGTCTTGTGGCTGTGCTTCTGACTGGAGCTGGGTTGTAGGGATCCATCTGGAATTCCTGTTGAATATTTTCAGTTGCTAGAGGAAAATACAGGGCCTTCATAGTTCATGTTGCTCGCGTTTTATTTCCTACGAGAGCATGACTCCTTGAGCCGTACACCATACGTTTAGGAATAATAATAATCTAGATGTACATAAATTGCTTAACATCAAAAAAAATTTTATACTAAACGCACGTAGTAATAGCTATTCATCCTTACAACTTACTCCTTGCTTCATCAATGACCTTAACAACCACTTTGCCCCATGTTTCCCTTCCTCCAAGCGCCTGCAATGCCCTGGGTACACTCTCTAACCCCACAAAACTTTCATCCTTAAAAGCTGTCCCCTTGAATTTGCCTTGAGCCACAAGGTCAAAGATCCCATTCCAAACAGTACCCACGGTGTCCTTCTCAAACTTGGCATACTGCCCCCAATGCAGCCCGACAATGCTCACATTTTTCAGAAGCACCCGATTCAGCGCGACCTTCTCGATCTTGCCCGCTGCGAACCCAATAACTAATAGGCGTGCATTCCACGCGACACATTTCAAACTGGCATCGATCATACCCACAGGATCATACACAATGTCCACTCCTGCCTTCCCATTGCCAGTTCGATGTTGCGCACACAGCTTCTTCACTTCTTCAGGCCAGCCCGTATTTCGGTAGTCGATGACATGGTCAGCCCCGAACTCTCGTGCAATCTGCCTTTTGCGTTCTGTGCCAGCCGTCGCTATTACCGTCGCGCCCTTACCCTTCGCGATCTGCACGGCAGCTAATCCGACACCACCGGCAGCCGCATGGACGAGGACCCAGTCTCCCGGCTGCACGTTTGCTCGGTGCACTAAACCGCCGTACGAGGTAGGTGCGGTAACGAAGAGTCCAGCTGCGTCCTCAAAACTCCACCCATTCGGGACAGGGAGTAAAGTATGCTCAGGAGCGAGGATATGGGTAGCGTAGGCACCCTGAGTGGCGCCGAAGACACGATCGCCGACTTTAAAACGCGCTTGTGAGGCTGATTTGGACGTTGGCACGGCTAGGACAGTTCCGGCAAACTCAGCACCTCCGATCCACGGGAGTGGAGGCTGGTGTTGATATTTGCCTTGTATCTGAAGGAGATCGAAGAAGTTGGTACCCGCCGAGTGAATCTGAATCAGGTAATCACTGGGGGATGGGGATAGGGTAGGAAGTGTGGTGACTTGTAGATCCAAAGGCCCCTTTTCAAACTCGATCAGCAACGAATACTGTAATACATGATCAAATATTATCAGGTAAATAACTGATGGCTTACCTTGACATACTCTTTGACCTGGATAGCACGCATATTGATGGACGATTGAAACAATGTAATATACGTTGGGTAGTTTCTAAGAGGAGTGGGAATGGCAGCGACTGGCTTTAATGAAGAATTTTTGCAATGTGCTTAGATGGGAATTCTAGAAATAACGAAGTTTGTTTTTACAGCGAGAAACAAGTGTACAGAGGAGTAGCTGTCCCCGCGTCCTGAGATGTGCCGAGGTCCGTTGTCGGATAAGATGAATTGACCTCCTCGAACGGTGTACATCATTACCTCATTCTCTCAACAAACCCTTCGGTGTTCACCAATCAAAATATATATACGTCTAATGCAGGTATATTGAGACTCCAAGTTGTAGCATTGATGAGACCATCAAATTCCAGTCACCCCGGGATTCCGAATTAGCAAACAATAAGAATTTCGACTAGCTAAATGTACAGGTATGCAAATGGACACCTTAACTCCTTCTTTGCTCATGGATATCAAATAACACTCCTCTGATTCTGTAGTACCTGCCGTTGCGCCAGGAATCTCATGGCCTGCTGAGATCATGCAGCTTCATTATTCAGCGTACCACCACCGTAAATGAAAAATTCCACCATTTGTTCTCTTTAAGTTCCGTACACACATAGAAAAACCAAGACCACCAAAACATAAAGAGGAGGGGGAAAGGTTTTTTTTTAAAAAAAAAAAAAAAACATCCATGCATGGTAACACATTACCCAAGAAGTCTTGGGGGAATAGTATAGGTTATGAATGCAAAAATGAACGCAGACCGACAGTCAATGCCGAGAGATTTATATAGATATAGTATGTTTTGGTCAATAAGGAAACGGCGCACACATCACAGGATGTCCGCTAGGGAAAAGAGGGGAATGCATCACTGGTCCAGCCGGAGAGTGGCTGGATAACTTGGTAGGAAGTGACATCTTCTTCTCCTGCTGCCCTCCCTTTTGGTTGGCCCTTAAGTGACCGCCAGCGGTACCGGGACTATAGGAGACAGGCATGGCGCGGAGAGATGGCTTCCGCGCGTCATGCGGGTCGAACACCTGCTCATGCGAGAATGAGCACCCTGGCGAGGGGGGTGAATATAGCCGATGAGGAGGGTGTGGAGATACCATCTGCATTGCTGGATCGATGGAGGGGCTCAGAGGTGGGGCGGTATAGTATGGCATCGATGGAGGGTGAGCACTAGCCTCTAGCTGTACTGGGTACCACTGAGGAACGACCCAACTGATGGGCGCTGTTGCTGCAGTTGTCGGAGTTGTCATGCGTGGACCTGTTGTCACCGCATAATGAGAGTTTTGAAAGGGTGAGACCATCGGGGATGTCGAGTCAAGTAGAACGCCATTTGCTAGAGGCGAGGTATGGGAAGATGGCTCGAAGGAGTTAGAGTTAGAGATAACTACCACGGAAGAATCCCTATCGTGAGCCCAGGCGTTGGAAGCATTCTGGTTGTCGAAGGATCCTGTAGTAGGGAAATCATGATGCACATATGTTCCATCGCCCAAGTAGAAGTCTGGTTCGGAAGAGGGTAATACGGCAGCTGATTTCTGTGTCGAATACAACTGGGTCTTAGGAGAAATTGGAATCTCATCCTTTGGAGACCCTGCCTCGTGGCTACTGCTATCCCCATTGACGTCCTGTTGGTCATCCTGAGACTTCTTCCGAGTCTGGCGAGATGGTTTGGTAACACGCCATTTCTTTAATCTACTCCGCAACTGAGTCTCACTAGTGACGATTGCCAGTGGGTTAGATTAACCATACACAAGAACAGTTGCTTAGAATAACTCACCTTGGGTTAAAGTCATCGGACCGGATTTGCTTAATGACTTGTTTGAGAGGCCATTCTTCGTCCTTATATAGTTTAGCGATCAAGGCTTTCTTCCTCTCCCACACGTCTGATGGGATTGTGTTTTTCATCTCAAATGCTCGTTTTAGCTTATTTGCGAGTTGGCTAGTTGAATGAGACTAAGGCGAAAGAGCCTATGGAGGATGGATTGAAGTGGAGGTGTCAATCAAAAGTTAATAGATTGTGTAGTCAATGTAGGGAGTACGCGAGGAATTCGAGCTAGAAGCAATGATGTTAAGAAAAAACGGAATTATAAAAAGGAAACTGTTATACTCTAATGGAGGAGATCGGGGGATCTAAGATATAAGTACAAGACAGTGAGTGTATCACTGGTAGATCCTAGTGGGTGTTATTAGTAGGAACCACCACAAGCGCATGCACCACTCCAACCAGCAGCACGCCATGAGGAGAAGTGGATAAGGCGAGGTATGGGATGGAGAAGCTCGTGCCCATTGAGCAGTTCATTCGGGGAGAAGGGAGATCTACCCAGCACGACAATGCCCAGGGAACAACATCACCCACAAGTGGGCCATTCTCTCTAGTCTGGTGGGACTTCCAGCTCGGTCACTCGGGATTTTAGTTGCTGGGAGTGGTACTTCCAGTGCCTCGGGTCCTGTCATTCAGTATTTCAGTAATCTATTCTTCCTTAGTATCATTAATAAGTTATCAACCAGGAGCGCCGAATCAGCTTGACTTATTTCAATTACTTGAGTAATTTTCCATGCTCCTGGGTTCCAAAGTAAGCTTTTTCTGTCGATCACTTTGGGAAGTATTCCGGGTTGGAGTAACCATGTTCAACTTCTGCTGCTAACCCACACCCACTTGCCTATGTGTGTATCTATGTTGTATGTGGCCTCGGTCAGACGTTGGGTAATTACAGTACGACAAGTAAAAAACAAAGATATCATAAACACATTATCCACTTCACAGTCGGTCACTTCTTTTTCTTATGCGAATGAGTCAATAGGTACGTTATTTATGATCGATGTGTCAATTACCTTTTTTATTGTGGCATCGCCCCATCTCTTCGAAGTGCATCTAAGTCTCATTGGGCTGCCTAGTGATCACTTCCCGTCAATAGTTTCATCCGACGGGATGTAGGTATACCGTCCTACTAGTACCTCATACAGAGTATACCAGCCAATGAATATTGCTACCCCCTATTCATGTCAAACCGATGTTCCTTTATTTACTTCCTCCTTGGGACTTCATTATATTGTTGTTGTTGTTATTATTATTATTATTATTCTTCTTCTTCTTCTTCTTCTTCTTCTTCCTCCTCCTTTTCCTCGTCAGTCCCAAATCCAAGAAATACATGAGGGAAGAAGAGAAATCCACCGAGAGAGGGGAGAAAAAGCCTCTCTGGCCAGGCTCAATGGGCGATCCTCACAGACTAGCCAGATCAAGTCTACTCCGTTTAAGCCTCTACGGAGTAAGGGGTGATCCCTCCATCTTATGTTCATGGTGGGGAGACTAAGCCCAACCAGGCGCTTGGCGCAGTCATGGAGCTGCCTATTTAAGAATAGATGCGGATCCTCCAGGTTGGTTCGTGATAGAGGTTAGTGCTGGTACCAAGTAACGTACCTGCCCGGTGCATGACGGAATACATGGAACAGTTGCAGCACGTGGGCACCGTATTAGTGCGTATTCCATCAGCCTCTCTAGTAAGGTTAATTACAGACTACAGCACCTACTCGAGTAGTTTGCTCATAAGGACTACAACGTAGAGGAAAGACGAAGTTAACCTACATACCTAAGTCGCGGAATACGTTCCACGTTCTTCCGTACTCAAGTTTATGGTATTTGTTGCCCCTAAGAGCCCGGTTTTCAGGACCTACCAATCAAACCATTCAAATTATGACACTGGCTACGAGTAATAGGGTTACAAACTAACTGCGCCGATAGACTTGTCGATTGACCGCCTCAACCATACATTATCCTTCCATGGGTGGCACTTGGAGAAGATCATCGATGGAATGGTTCTGGATGGAGCGACCTGCGGAGAAGGCGTTCTTACTCCTCACTGTTAGTTCTAATAAAACCATGTGGCTTGAACTGCCTGATCATCCCTGCGTTAGGCTGCTTTAATAAAACGGCAGTATCTGAGCAAGAAGAGAAATGGTTGCGAGGCATGGTTGCTTATAAAATACAAGGAATATAGTTATATGCAAATGATAATCCTTTAATCTCCCCTACTAATATGATCGTAGATATGATACTAATTCCTATTTTTGGTTGGGCTGAGGCTCGAATTAGTTTAATATACCATCCTCTCTCTCTTTTTTTATTTTTGCCGATGCTGCCCCGTAACAGGTCAAGTGATCAAATCCCGGCGGCTGATCGGAAGACAAACCAAGGAACCGCTGCGCGCAAATTAACTCGCGCGCACCGTTGAGAACTAACAATTACCTCACTACCATGTGGTTTTCTTTTTCTCTTCTCTCTCTCTTTTTTTTGCCCCCAAGAAAGTTTACATTAGAAAAATCGGAGGTTTACTTCCGATAGCCTTCATGGTTTCATGCACCGTCAACATATCGGCGACCGGAGTAAGTGGGAGGAAAAGGCAAAGAATAAAAAAAGAAAAAGCAACCATACAAATTGGAATGATCTCATCCACCGAACCTACGCACTATCGATGATGCTGGCAGGAAGCGAAAAGGAATAGTGCTGCGACTAGGCTATCTAGCTCCTGACAGAAGTGGGGACTTCGGAGAGGGATAGATTCCGATAGAGAGTCAAAGTTCAGAGCCTGCAGAGTGCCAAAATGGATAGCACGCGGGCAAGTCGCAACTAGACTTACCCCTCCAAGGGTCAAGACAAGGGAAGAACAACATACATGCCGCTCGTCTGAAGTGGAGTCGTGTGAATCCCCTAACTATGTCTAATCGATCCGGAGAGTCGGAGAAGGGTCAGTAATGACGATCAATCTCTCGTCAGTAGAACAACTCTTAGCTGATCTTCCCCAAGGTCCTCAATAGTTCTCGCTGCAGGATTAATCCAAGCCAGCTATCTAGGTGGGAACGGCTCCAGTCAGTCAATATGATTTGATAAGAGCCTTCTAGTCTTCCCCACGTTGCAATATCTCAAAACACGCCTGACCTGATCTGCAACAAAGTGATCGATAGCCTTGGCCTAATACTGTAGCATAAATGCCTTATTTGTCCTCAATTTAATATGGTTGATCATACCTATTATGTACACATAATCTCTAACATTATTCGTGAAACATGGGGAGGTGCTGCGAGGTCCCATCCGATGCCATAATAGTCGCTTTACGGTACCAGACCGACCTAGTATTTCCAGCAACGTATCGTAATAAGTATCAACCCCCTGCCGTGGTTGGGCTGGAACCGAGGAATGTCCCTAGCGCCATCCTCCACCACAGGTGTCTTCATTGGGTGTTTGTAGAACAGTAGGTAGCCGAGCTAACCTAACCAGTATTTCATCATAGTCACTGACGAGACTACAGGTGATAGGAGTAATCAGACCAGTTATACAGGTGTACTAGCACGCTTATCATCCCCGTTATCAGGCGGGTGATCCTCGTGCATCTGTGCATTGGCTAGCTGAATTAGATAGACGCTTTGAAGTCTCCTATGCTGCAAAATTGGCAGATATAGAAGAAAAACGTCCCTTAAGTTACACTACTAGGTGCTACCTCTAATATGTAATTACTTAGACCCGGATGATTGGCTCGGGAAACTAGCCGAATAAGCCATGATTTTGACATAGAGACAACAGATCTTCCACTGATTTCCTTTGCATGGCTTTGGTTGATCAAGACACCCGTTTTAAGGACGTACGGTTGGAGCATTCATATCATTATTATTCTCATTGTCATCTAATAATCTTTTTTATTTAATTTTATTTTTTATTCTATTTTTCCAAGCGAACGATATCGCGGGTACACAGAAGGCGGCAAATGCACTGCGCTGTACTCCGCCCTTCGAGGAAGATACATATATGTATGTATGTAAGTATGTACAACAATATACAGACCGACACTGTAAGGTAAATCTATCGACCCTGTCAGGCCAGTTGCAACCCCAGGATTAATTGATTAAACCAAGCATCCGTTCTTATTTTGGTGAAAGAGGAACTGCAACAGATGATTTGCCTTGGTGACCGGCATCGGTAGCCGGCACCGAGGATCATAGTACCCGTGTGATTCGCGACCGTTTCCAAGGAACCTCAACTCCTTACCTTTCGGAGACCATACTCAATAGGTCAAGTAGCGCCGAGGCCCCTAAGTTTGAAGGAAATAACTTACTGAAGTATCTACATGAGGATAACCATTTACTGGCACCCACGTGGGTGATTGAATTTCGGTTGTACTAGTAGAAGGTACCCCGAACTTTCCATTGACTTTTGTTTTTCCTTTCTTTCTTTCTTTTTTTCTTTCTTTTCTTGTGGTTTTGCCGAATAAATTCCGCAGCAATGGCATGGACCCCGAAATAGCATTACCTTCGACCGTTTCAGGCCAGATAGTAATGGGCTCACTGACCGTTAGTTCATACTCCTCCGTACGCTCCCCCCTCCTTTCCGTTCGGTCTATTGTACTCTACTAGGTATGCAGTTCGGCCGAAGGATCCGCATCTGCAGATCACAGTAGGCCTCGAGTCTCAAGCAGACCAGCTAGCCAGCGATATAGAGTTCAATCGCAAGTTCCAGTTGCTTGAGGGCTAACAGTCTTCGTGTGCCAACTAAACCCACTAAGCCCATCGCCGTAAGCAGTACTTAACGGAGAAGAACACAGACAGTGAACCATCATTGCCCGAATAAGTATCGTGAACTTGTTGAAGCTCAAGCTCTAGTGAAAGAAAGTCTCCGGGTCTGTACACTCCTCCGAAACGGCCGAACTTCTTCCTCTGGGACAGGAAAAACGCCGCTGTTCCCCTTAGCTCTCTCTACTCCCGGATCTACATGCCTGGTCCGGGTGTTCCTCGCCCTCCGTGGAGGTGATCGATGGTCCCCCCCCCCCCCCCCCCCCCCCCTACTTCCATGCTACTCCGGGTCCAGCCCTCCAAGCGTCTGATGGCTGATCAGTGGGGCTTTGTGAAACATGAATTGGAGACAACCGTTGCTCCCAGCGCTGCTCCTTGGAATCGACTCCAACTTGATTCCGTGGTTCAACTAGGTT